CGCCTGCTGCCACCAGGACAAGCCTGCACGTAAGCCCCCCGGTTATGAAAGCTGCCACCTGCCACCCGGAGCGCCTCCCTCTTGTGGGGTCCCCATGCCCTCCGCATCCAGGAACCTCCCGAGGACACAGTGTGGGTCACATCCCGGTGAGCCGCTCCCCAAAATGGCTGTCAGCATTTGGGAACGTGCCTGGGGCATAGGGTCAACCTCTGTCCATTGGGATCGCAGTCACAAACCCTAGCTGGCCTCCCCCGGGACCCCAGTGCCCCCCGCACCTCAAAGAGGCCAACAGGGCTGTGCCCAGCCAGAGAACCAAGCATGGCCTCCTTCCTGCCCGTCCTCAGGACCATCAGTGGTGTCCATGTGCCTGGGCCATGAGCCCAGCAATGGATGCTGCCATGAGGGTATTTTTGGACGAGACTAGTATTTAAATTAAGTGGCCCCTGCCATGATGTGGGTGGGCTGTATCGAAGCAGTTGACGGACTAAGAGACAAGTCTGAGGTCCCTGGAGGAGGCGGAGGAGACTCTTCTCCAGATGCCTTTCAGCTTGAGCTGCAGCATCAGCTCTTCCTGGGTCTCCGGGCCTGCCAGCCCCACAGTCATGTGAGCCAACTCCCTAACCTCTGCTCTGTCTCCTTGTCCCTGTCTCTCCTGTCTGTTGTTTCTCTGGAGAACCTCAGCTAACTGCCCGCCCCCTCCCTGGATTGCACACCCACTCCACTTATGTAAATACACACTCCTGCCCCTGGTGACGCCCAGGGGAACACAGGTGGGGGGACCTGCGTGGCCTCCTGTCTGCTCTGCGGCCACTCGCCGGCCTCTCCCTCCTCCTCCCGCCAGCACTGTCCACTTTTCAGAAGGCCTCCCCTGTTCCCAAAGCCTTCGACTCCCCTCTCCCCAGCCAAGCCCTCTCTGACCCGAACTCCCACCAGCCTGGTCGGCGCAGCCACGTCTCCAGCTTGCGCCATGAAGCAGCCTGTTCCCCGACACCTCTCGCCTTCCTTCCCACTCCTCACAGCAGTCCCGGATGTCTACAGAGCAAGATGAGGTGCGACCTCCCAGGGCAAAATCTCTAGAGGCTCCCACCGCCCCTCCGGGTCCTCTGACCCTGACCGTGGTGTGGGCTACAGAAAGCTGGCCCTGCCTCCACCCTGCCCCCCTCGCCCCCAGCCTTCTCCTTGTCTGGGATTCTACGTGGCCTTCCCACCATGCCCCCCTACCACGGGCTCCCCACCTTGGGGTCCCCCCACCTCCAGGCCCCATCTCCGTGCCTCCCAGAGTACTGTCCCCTCTGCCTCAGGCCTTTCCCTCCGTACACTGGCCTCCAGCAGCCGGTCACCCTGGCCTGGACTCGCATCTCTCTGGCGCACTGGGGCACTTGATTGTGTCAGACCATTGTGACCTCCGTGTCTGCTGGCCACTCTGGTGGCGCTGTGACTCACGCTTCCTGGGACAGGCCTGTGCCTGGCTGGCTCTCTGCCCCGGGACCAGCTGCTCAGTGGACACGTGTGAGACCCACGTGCCAAGTCACTTTTCAGAGCCGAGAACAAGCCGCTACATCAGGCCGCCTGTGGCCTCCTTTACCAGCGCAGGGGCAGTGTCCACGCAGTGTCCACGTTCTGGCAGCACGCATCCCGTGAAGACCCCTCTGAGAGAGGCCTGACTTTCAGACCAGCTGTGCCCTTCACCCCCTACCCACCCCAGCCCCAGACTCTTCACTCAAGCTGCGTGGGGCTGGGATGCGGGACGGAGGCGCTGGACAGGAGGCCTTAGCAGTGGCCACATGGTCAGGCCCACAGGAGGGAGGAGGAGACTGCCAAGGGCAGGGTCCCCGGTCACCGAGGCATGCGCAGCAGGCACCGACCGGGACAAGCCGCAGTCCCAAGGCCCAGCAGACTCCGAGCCGCTCTCTGGCACGCCCCCTGTGGGTACTGTCAGCGTCACGCTCTCTGTGTCCCTACGGCAGGATGTGGGGCCCTGGGTGCCACGGGCACCCTGTAAACCTCTGACCCCTCCTACCCCATTACATTATCGAGTGAAGTAACCAGAATGACAGCCTCCTCGGCGATGGGTGAGGATGGCAGCTTAACGTCAGCATCTCGGTCATGCCCGTGAGTGTGGGGGGTGCATTGGGATCCAGACCCCACCCAGGCCATCCAGGGGGCAGCTGGTGGTTGTCATGGGTGTCCCTCCAAGGGCTCCTAGAGGAGGGAGGCTGAGGTGCCGGGTCCTCATCATGCTCCACCAGCAGGGCAGTGAGCCCAGGGTCACCTTCTGGGGTTGGGTCGGGACTAAAGGGCTGATGTCCCTGGAGCGCTTACATGGTGCCCAGTGCCCAGCCCACTAACGCCACCATCGTTCACATATCTGTGTTGGGACTGCTGCGGTCACTCTCACTGCTCACTGAGCTGCCTTGCAGAGCGACGTTCATGACAGCCGGCAGCTCCGCCAGCCCCCGGCCAGGGCTTCCAGCAGTGGCGCTGGTGGCGCGGACTGCGGGGTGGGGGTGGCCAGGGCGGGGTGGGAGAGGCAAGGCTCCCGGAGCCAGGTGTTCCCACCTTGCTGCCACTGTGCATTCTACGGGGTGGGAGGAGAGCGAGCACCATGTGATTGTGAGTGACAGCTGCCCTGGGACAACAGGTGTCATCTGGGAAAGCTCTGGGCCCACAGCCCTGCCTGTGAGAGTAGAGGACTGACTGGCTGGCTCCTCAAAATCCAGTCATTTTGAAACAAAGCACAGTCCCCTTCAGGTCCAGAGGACCCAGTCTGCACGGGGAGGATATTTCAGACCTTAAGGAAGCAAACGAATCCAGGTGGGTGAGTTCTTGCAGTTTTTGAACCCAGCTTCCGAAAAAGACCGAGACCTCGAAACAAACAGGACAGGAAGAAAGAAGCCGCTGTGCCCGCCTGGAGCAGAGGTCACCGTGCGGCGTCAGACCTCAGCCCCGCCGGCCTGCGAGCCCCAGCCATGCCTCTGAGCCGGTACATCGGCCCTCCAGGCGGGGATCAGGTACGGAGACGAGACATGGGGGCCGCAGGCGTAGACCCCTCTCCTGCACCTCATCCCCATGGCGTTCGGCCTGCCCTTCGTGAGAGCAGAACGGCGCAGCCAAAGCGGGCTGCTTAAGGCACCTGAGAAGTCACTGTGACTGCTTGGGGCCCTTGCCTCTAGAAGAAATGAGATGCAGGCCCCTGCAGGCCCGTGGGGGGAGGGCAGGAGCACACAGAGGTGGCTCCCAACAGCCCACCTGGGCCAGACCAGTCCCAGTTAGCCTGGGGCTGGGTGAGGTGACGGGGGAGCAGGCCCTGTACCCTAACGTGGCTGGCAAGCCACCCATCCTGGCCAGGTCCCGCTGAAAACCACACTGAGGCCCTTGGGGGTGCCGAGGATTTCCTGAGATTCAAGCTCACATCTCTTGTTCATGGGAAGGATGCAGCCTCTGCTGACGGCTGCTCTCTGGAAAAGCTCTCTTCACTCTGGTGTCCACAAAGCCCTCCCACGCGCACAGACACGCCACCTCCCACCCGAGGCCGTGGGCCTCACACATGCCTGCCGGCCACCCAGCCTGTGCCCAGAGGCCAGGAAGGGAGCCTGTGAAAACGCCCAGCTGGGCCTCCACTCTGCTTAACCATACCCAGGCCAGGAGGTGGCTGGGGCCTCTGTGCCCCCGTGTCACCACTTTCCTGGTCACCAGAAAATCCCTAGAAGTCCAAAAGGAACCAAGTGGACACACCCGTGTTAAGTGGGGGGCGACTTACAGAGCCTCCTCTTGTCAAACCAGCAGTGGCCCGGCACACGCCTGCCCTGGGGTGAAGCGTCATCACAGGGCCGGGCCGGGCCTTCCCGCCGGCTTCCTTCCGTCTGTTCACCTCTTCGGGGAGCACGAGGCAGCTGCTTCCCCCCCGGCCCCCTCCCTGCCCCCCTTTGCTGGAACTGGGTGGGTGGGTGTGGGACACACTGCCCTTTTTGTTTCTAATCACCTTTAGATCCCACAGCAAAGGGGGACGGGGTCCAGGGCCAAGCAGCCAGCAGCCCCTTCCCGCTGGACAGGCCGGGCTCCCTGCTGACAGCTTCCTAGAAAAGCCCACGCACTCTGCGAGGGAAGGCGGACACGCACGCACCTAGTGACCCAAACCACGCTGCCCACCAGCTGGCCTCAGCCCCACCCCAGGCGCTCCTAGCTCCCCAGCCACTCTCCCCTCCAGCCTTCCTTTCTGGGAAGGAAAAAAGAGGGGCTTTGGGCAGCCTTGCTGAGCAAAGGGAAGGTCCTCCCCTTGGAGAGTAACAGTTAATGTCACTTTGTCACCTTAAGTCTACGCCACTCCCCAAGACCCCCCACACCGGTCACCCCAAACAACCAGAACCTGCCTACCTGGACCTGGGGGGTTCCAGTCCTCCTGTGGGTCCGCCGCCCAGCAGCTGGGCATGCCCCCCCACCCTGGGTGTCTGCCTCTCAGGGCTTTTGATGACAACCAGCCACAGGTGCTGGAAACAGGAGACTCTTCCAGAACCTTAGAAGCCCCTCCTCCAGGTCTGCCTCAGGCAACCTGTGGAGTCTAGCCCTCTCAAAACAAGCTCAGAGAACCACCCTGTAGGCCACACCTGGATGCAGAGTGAGCAGGGAAGGAATAAAGGAGGCGGGGAGTCAGGGCGTCCCAGCGCCTGGGCGAGTTGAGTCGGGGCGCCGGAGCCACCGCAGGGGCGGGGGAGGGGGAGGGACTGGGGTTGGGGGAGGGCCGAGAGAAGAGGAGGAAGGAGCGGAGGGCTGGGAGGGGCCGGGGACTCCCTCTAGGAGCGCTGGCCCACCGCTTGGCGCGGAGCCCGAGCCCGAGCCCGAGCCCGACCCCATCTCTAAGAAGCCGCGGAGGGACGACCGCGAACTGGGGCCAGGTCTGGGACCTAGCGGCGTACTCCACGGAAGGTGACGGCGGAGAGGTGCCCACGACCCCCCAGGACCCCCAGCCGGGGGCGCGCCCGCCCGCGGAGACTGATGCTCACCTGCGGGGGTTGAAGTCGGGGTCCACACAAGGCTCACGGTTCCGGGTCGGGGTCT